GAAAAACACTAACACCTCTATATCAACCGCAAACATTCACCACGACACCAATTCGTTGCACGATACCAACGATACGCCGTGATGTTGAAAGGAATGTCAAACTCACAATCGTTCGCAGAAAACAAACTTCAGACTATATGCAAGTAGCCCATAGACTGTATAAAAACATGGACGTAGTGTCCGTGACGTCACCCGTAGGTTTCCAAAGAGCGTTTTTGAAGCCTAAATTAGGAGGAGCTGGCCGTCGCCATCTTGGCAGCGCGTCACTCCCGGATAATCGAAAATGGGCAAAGAGGCGGGAGCTGGTTGCTGAAATCACGCCCCCCTAGCTCGACGGTGCTGACAGCAGCGGCAATCCACCTGTCACTCAAGTGGCCACGCCCTTAATTATACAGAACTTTAAGGCTTAATATAATTTAAACCGATGAGTTATAAAAAAATTCACCTCCCTCACAGTTGTCATGAAGGGCAAAAATTTGCTATATAGACCAAAACCACGTTTTGTACCAGGCTGTAAACATATTTTTTTCTGCTGTAAAGTTCTCCTGTCTATAAGCAGACTCGTCTCCGTCCTGGATGAGACCGATGACTGTAGTGTCATCTGCAAACTTCAGGAGCTTGACAGAGGGGTCAGTAGAGGTGCAGTCATTTGTGTAGAGAGAGAAGAGCAGTGGGGAGAGGATGCATTCCTGAGGAGCTCCGGTGCTGATGGTGCGAGTGTTGGATGTGAGTTTTCCCATCCTCACTAGCTGCTGCCTGTCTGTCAGGAAGCTGGTGATCCACTGACAGATGGAGGTGGGTACAGAGAGCTGTATGAGATTATTCTGAAGGGTGTCCGGGATGATGGTGTTGAAAGCGGAGCTGAAGTCCACAAACAAGATCCTTGCAAAAGTCCCTAATTTGTCCAGATGTTGGAGGATGTAGTGCAATCCCATATTAATTGCATCATCCACAGACCTGTTTGCTCGGTAAGCAAACTGCAGGGGGTCCAGCAAGGGTCCAGTAATGACCTTCAAGTAGGCCAACACCAGTCTCTCAAATGACTTCATGACCACAGATGTTAAAGCAACAGGTCTGTAGTCATTAAGTCCTGTGATTTTTGGTTGCTTGGGTACAGGGATGATGGTGGAACATTTGAAGCAGGAGGGGACTTCACACAGCTCCAGGGATCTGTTGAAGATCAATGTGAAGATGGATGATAGCTGGACAGCACAGGCTTTGAGGCAGGCTGGAGAGACACCATCTGGGCCTTTGGCTTTCCTTATCTTCTGCTTCCTGAAGACTTTGCATACATCCTCTTCACAGATCTTGAGTACAGGCTGAGAAACAGTAGGGGGGAGGGAGGGGGAGGGTGTTGATGGCTGCGCTGTGAGAC